TATATATATTGGTTACCCAGGCTGAACTGCAGGGTGAAGTGATTTACCTGACCCTCCCAGAAGCTGAGACTACAGACATAGGTCACCACAGCAGTCTAACTGTCCCTATTGCACCTTCACTTTTGATGGGGAGCTTTGGTAGGTTTAGAATTCCAGATTGTCAGCTTGCAATTTGTTAAATTCCTTGAGTGACAAACCTGCATGCAATGTAAGTTTCACCTTTGTGCACTTTCTTTTTTTTCCTGAGACTTTTCACGACTTTGTTGTCTTGATAGATTTCTGCTGCTGTCTTGCTAGCTTTTGATGCCTTCATTTGGTATTCTCAAAATTTCTAGTTGCTTTTTTGCAGGTCTCTTGATAGCAACTACACATTATCAAAAACAGAACTCTTCAATATCATCATAATAACTTACTGGTATTTCATTTTTAGGACCATAATTTTTTTTTGGTACCAGGGATTGAACTCAGGACCTTGCACTTGTGAGGTAGGCAGCAACACCACTGAGCTAAGTCCCTGGCCCCAGTACCATAATTTTTTAAAAATAAACTTATTCTTTAACGTACATATAATGTTTAGCTGTTACATTAGAATAAATTATATAATGAAAACTATTTTAGTATAATCTTTGAAAATATCACTTCTGATTTTCTTAGGTTCTATTTCTAGAAGTAAACATGCTAGTTTTAAGATTTGAACAACTTCAGCATCTTTGGGAATCACTGGATCCTAGGTTAGGAATATCTATTTCTGAGGCTTAGAAATAACTTGTTTTGGGTTTGCCCTTTTGAATAGGTCTCCAAGCATATCTGCATCAGACCTCCCAAAACTGGAAATGGACACATGGCATAAGTAGGACTGCTTCTCCATTTGGAGAATGTGCTGACACTTTGGCTGTAGCTAGTTATTTTCCTTCTCCAAGAAAGTATAAAGTAATTCTACTTCCAGATTTTTGTGGCAACATTAAGAAAGATCACGTATTGGCAAGTTTGCAGCAAAGTATAAACATATCAATATTCAACAGTAATAATCTCTCTTTTCTCTCTTTCCCTCTCACTCCTTCCCCACCCATCCCCCTCTTTCCTTCTTTGCTCCCCCCTCTCCTGTCTCTCTCCCTCTCCTTCTCACTCTCTCCCTCTTCCTCTCCCTCCCTGCTCCTCTCTCCCCTCCTTCCAAAAGCAACCTCTGAAGGCCACTCTTCCCAACTCACTGCTACTGTGCTGCTTTCAACTGGAATGTTTTTCCATCTTTGTCCTTTTGGTAAATATATACCACTGATCTTTTCAAGAAGTCTTTTATGAAATCTTTTCCAATGTACAGGTAGAACTGACCCTGCTCTCTACTGTACTCTGTACAAACTTCTAGAAAATTTTGCTTCACTCTATTTTTGTCTGATTTCCACTTTTACATCACCAGTTCCTTGAGGACAAAGAAATGAATCCTGTAAATTCTGGACAGATCAGTGCTTATTGAATGAATAAACTAAAGAGTCGGGATTGGATCTTCTCAAAAGTGCAGCAGAATAAAACAGAGAAGTTAGCAATCATCTACACTCAGTATCTCGATTGATTGTCACAAAAGTCTTATTAAAGAGCCAGGTGGGTGGGGAGCAAGAGGATTAAACAAACCTTTGAGTTTTAGTGGATTTCCCAAGGTAGGCTGCAATCCTCTGCACTGGTAAGAGTTGGGCCTGGGAATAGTGAGATTTTCAAGCTTATTTCGGGCTCACTGCCTAGGACTAAATCCCAGGCCCTCAGGGCCTCTAGAGAAGAGTCCTTCCTGTTTCACATTAGGAAAAGAGTTATTAGAAACCTACTATAAAATGACAGCAGATGGGGACAGAGATGAGGGTTGCACCATTCCAGAGACCGTGCACATTTTCTTTGAAACAGTTTTGGGGAAATGGCAAATGTCAAGATACTAGCTACCAATTTTGAGAATCTGCTAAAGTGCCTGGCACTCTGTGTAGAAGCCTTCTAATCATACTGTAACTCAGAAGTAGGTATTATTTCCTCTGTTTTTTATTCCCTATCTGCTCCACTCTCCTTGATGTACCTTACCAAAGCCTCCCTCCTGTCAGTATGTTCCTTGCTTTGGTGCAGAATCACCACATCCACTTTCTCAAACCCAGGGGAGGGGTTGGGCGGGGCGGGGTCTCCCTGTCGCAGAGCCCGACTGCGCCTGCGCGGACTGCGGCAGAAGGAGGGGTGTGAGAAGCTGAGTATACTGAGACTAGCGTTCGCTGTTGGCCAGCACCTTCTTTCTTTTGCATCATCTCTGATTTCAGCTTCAGTAAGTTGCTTGGAACTTTGGCTGTGGCAGCAGCAGCAGCGGCGGCATTACTGCTAAGGGCAGTTTTGTGCCAAGGCACCTTCATAACTCCTGTCTTCTTTCTACTAGATCGCGGGCCTGTCGGTGTCTGCTTCCACACTCCGGTCGACAGGACCTTGTCGCTGGTAAGCCAGAACTCGCGCCGTCGCAGCAGTGCAAAGGCCACTGCGCACAACAGCAGCAGCTGGGGTGAAATGCAGGCCCCTAACGTCCCCGGTCTCCCCGCTGCTATGCCAGGCCCAGACGTCCCCGAGGGTCCCAGCGATCCCCAGATCCTCCAGGGTCTCTGCGCTCCTGAGGGCCCAGGCACCTCCGTGCCATCCACCCCTGGTGAGGGCCCAAGCACGTCTGTGCTGCCCGCTGCCTCTGAGGGCTCATGCGCCTCTGGACCTCCTACAGTCTCCGAGGGGCCAAACATCGACCTGTCGATCGCCGCCTCTGAGCGCCCAAACAACCCTTTGCCGCCCACTGCCTCTGAAGGCTCGAGCGCCTCCGAGCATCCCTCTGTCACTGAGGGGCTGAACACCTCTGAGTTGCCCCTCTCCAACGAGGGCCCGAGCTGTTTTGTGCCGCCCACCTCTGGTGAGGGACTGAGCACCTATTTGCCACCCACCTCCGGTGAGGGCCCGAGCACCTCCGTGCCGCCTACCACCTCTGAGGGACTGAGCATCTCCGCGCCGCCCACTTCCGGAGAGGAACTCAGTATTCTCATGCGGCCCACTGTCTCTGAGGGGCCAGGCATCAACATGCCACCCTTCTCCGGGCAAGGCCTCAGCACCTCTGTGCCCCCCACCCCCGATGAGAGCCCGAGCACCTCGGTGTCTGACGCACCCGGCACCTCGGTGCTGCCGCCTTCTGATGAAGGCCGGAGCATCTTCACTCCGCCTACTCCTGATGAGGGCCGGAGCACCTCCTTGGCGCTCACAGCTTTTGAGGAACCGGTCGCCTCTGTGCTGCTCCTTTCTGGCAACAGCTCCAAAATCTCGGGGTTGCAGACCTCCGGGGAGGGCCCAAGCACCTCTCGGGTGTCCAGTGCTACTGAGGGACTTGGCTTATCTGGGATGCCCACTGCCTCTGAGAACCCTGGTGCATTGTTGAGCTCCAGTGCATCTGGGAGCCCGAACTCTTCCAAGTGCTCCGTTGCTTTGCCAAACCTTGGCGTTGCCAAGGCCTCCGCAGACTCTGAGGGTCCCAAAGGTGCAGAAGGCCCCGTGGAATTCCAGGTCCTGAGAGACCATAAGAACTCTAACTCCATTACCATTATGGGTCTCAGCACCTCCCAGGTCGCCCTTACTCTGAAACCCCAGGACCCTATGGAACAGAATGTAGCTGAATTGTTGCAGTTACTGCTGGTGAAGGATCAGAGCAAGTACCCTATACGGGAATCTGAAATGCGGCAACATATTGTTAAAGAATATCGCAACCAGTTTCCTGAGATCCTCAGGCGAGTAGCAGCCCACTTGGAATGTATTTTTAGGTTTGAATTGAGGGAACTCGACCCTGAGGAACGCACCTACATTCTGCTCAACAAACTGGGACCTGTGCCCTTTGAAGGGTTAGAAGACAGCCCAAATGGGCCAAAGATGGGCCTCCTGATGATGATCCTAGGAGAAATATTTTTGAATGGCAACCAAGCTAAGGAGGCTGAGATTTGGGAAATGCTCTGGAGGATGGGGGTGCAGCGAGAAAGAAGGCTTTCCATTTTTGGGAACCCAAAGAGACTTTTATCTGTAGAGTTTGTGTGGCAGCGTTACTTGGACTACAGGCCAATAACTGACTGTACACCAGTGGAGTATGAGTTTTTCTGGGGCCCACGATCCCACCTCGAAACCACCAAGATGAAAATTCTGAAGTTCATGGCTAAGATCTATAACAAAGATCCTATGGACTGGCCAGAGCAATACAATGAGGCTCTGGAGGAAGATGCTATCAGAGCTGCTGCTGATGATTGGCAGGCTGTCCCTCAGTTTAGAAGGCCCTTTTTTGAGGAAATTCCTGCAGACTTATTATCTCCTGATGCAGAGGTTTCTGGCTATCCCTCAAAATATCCCCCACATTCATGGCCTGAGTCAAGAATGGAGAGCAAAGCAAGGAAGCTGGTGCAGTTATTTCTGCTCATGGATTCAACTAAGCTGCCTATACCAAAGAAAGGAATTCTGTACTACATTGGCCGAGAGTGCAGCAAAGTGTTCCCTGACCTCCTGAATCGTGCTGCTCGCACTCTGAACCACGTGTATGGGACAGAACTAGTGGTACTTGATCCCAGGAATCACTCTTACACCCTGTACAACCGAAGGGAAATGGAAGATGCTGAAGAGATCATAGATAGTCCAAATAGGCCAGGCAACAACTTTTTGATGCAGGTTCTAAGCTTCATCTTTATAATGGGTAATCATGCTAGGGAGTCTGCAGTTTGGGCCTTTCTTCGAGGCTTAGGGGTTCAGACTGGAAGAAAGCATGTGATTACTTGTAGATATTTGAGTCAGCGCTACATAGATAGTTTACGAGTTCCTGATAGCGATCCAGTCCAATATGAGTTTGTTTGGGGCCCTAGAGCCCGCTTGGAAACCTCCAAGATGAAAGCGCTGCGATATGTGGCCAGAATCCAAAGAAAGGAGCCACAGGACTGGCCAGAGCAGTACAGGGAGGCAATGGAGGATGAGGCCAATAGAGCCCAGGCAGGGCACAGGCAAATCCTTATTCACAATGTCAGGTAGAGGAATTTGTGGCATCAGAGGCCTTGATAGGCTGGGCCCTAGAGCCCTGAGTCTTATGTTTTGGGGTGGGGGTCCATATTGTGTTTGATATTTGTGTTCCAGTTCCATTTATGTCTTTTCATATTTAGTTTCTGTTTGGTATCATGAAAAGTTTCAATTGTTTTAATATACTGTCTGGTAAGGTAAATGTGATTGACCACTTGCTATCTCTGTTGTATTTTGGTATAAGAGTTTCAATAGTGTTGTAATATGCTTTGGGAATCTTTCCATCTCATTGCATTATCTGGAAAAGAATATATAGCATATAGCTATAAATATAGGCTTTTTCTTGAAAGCTTGAAAAAATTCACCAGTCTAGTGATCTAGCTTCACAGATGTTAAACAAACAAAAAGTATAACAACTGAAAAAGGACTCTAAGTTGTGGCTGGCCTCCCTTTCTGTCTGCTTTTGTGTAAAGTATACCAATGTTTACCTGTATTTGCTTTGCTGTAATAAAATGTAATGAAAAAT